TGGCTGCCTACAAGTTTATAAGGGGTGCTCACCAGGATCTGGGGGAACATCTGTTCACCAGAGCACCCCAAGGGATGACAAGGTCGAATGGTCACAAACTCCTCCATGACCGTTTAAGGAAGAACTTCTTTACTGACCGAGCCCCCAAGGTTTGGAATAGATTGCTGCTGGAGGTGGTTCAAGCACCTACTTTGAGAGACAAAGAGAATTTGGATATCTCCAAAGAGAAACAATATCCAAAGAGACATTTGGATATTTATCTTGCTGGGATCCTATGACCCCTGCTGACTTCCTGCCCCTGGGGTAAGGGGCTGGACTCAAAGATCTTCCGAGGTCCCTTCCAGCCCTAACCTCTATGAAATCTGTATGAAAATAATTCATATTCATTAGAGCTGTTGGGAAGATTATATTCCTTTTCTTAGAGAGGCAAGATTTTTGGGTGATATCTTTTATTGGGCCAACTGCGTAGTAGGTCCAATAAAAGATGCTCCCCACCCCACAAAAAAATCCTTGACTCTTGCATAATTCCTGGACTATCACAGGTACAACATTACTCTAACACTATCATTCCTTCTCTTCCAAACTTTTAAGGCACTGCAAGAGTAAGGATTCTTGTCTCTGACAAGCGTGGGGTCATCCATGAGCAATGTAGTAAGGAACACAGCTATGCTGAGCGTCTTCTCATGCTAAATTGGGCACTTCAAACTATCCACAAGAGGTACCCCCAAGCAGAGATTCCAAAAGAAGTGAGGCATAGCCACAAATATATATAATAAGTGTGCTGTAACTGTATGGGTGTGGGCATGGTAGGATACACAAAATGCACCCAGAACTTTCTTTAGGATTAGGGGTAAGAGGGGACAGAGCTTTTTAACCCTTTGCATAGATAGAAGTTGGAGGAATGGAACAGTTGCCATTTCTGTTACCTTGGAAATTCATACCATGCTGGAAGCAGCCAAATGTACATCACCATCTTAACTGAAGGTAAATAGAGCCATTACTATGACCCTATACATAGTAAATCTGAAGGAAGCTGAGAGCTATGTGGAATAGGAACACTGGTATATCATTTGGTGTGGAAACCACAAGGAGTGGAAAGAATTGGGGGTTCAATTTTAGTTGCAGTTCTAAAGTAACTTGTGACTATGTTAATTCATGGTGATCTCTCTTCCACAAACATGCTGGGTGCTCCAGAACCAGACCTCTAACATCAGTTAACCTGTCAAGGATATAAAGAGCTGTGACAGCAATTGAGCTAGCTGTATTTGGCAAAAAGAAATGTGATGTCATTAAAAACGCATCTACATATCGCCTTCAGACCTCAGGTTGGGGAGGACCGGGTTAGAGAGCTTCTGGAGGGGCTGGACGCGTTCAAGTCAGCGGGTCCGGATGCTCTCCACCCCAGGGTGCTGAGGGAGCTAGCTGGGGTTATTGCAGGGCCCCTGGCACGGCTCTACGAGCGATCGTGGTGCTTGGGCCAGGTGCCAGACGATTGGAAGGTAGCTAATGTGGTCCCCATCTTCAAGAAAGTGAAAAGGGAGGACCCGGGCAACTATAGGCCCGTCAGTCTTACCTCAATCCTGGGGAAACTCTTTGAGAAGATCATCAAGGAGCACATTTGTGATGGGCCGGCATCAGAAATGATGCTCAGGGGCAATCAGCATGGATTTATTAGGGGGAGATCATGTCAGACCAACCTGATTGCCTTTTATGATCAGGTCACAAAGGCCATGGACGCAGGTGTCGCGGTGGATGTAGTCTTTCTGGACTTCAGCAAGGCCTTTGACACCGTCTCTCACCCCATCCTAATTAATAAACTAGGCGACTGTGGCATAGATGCCTACACAGTCAGATGGATTGCAGATTGGCTGAAGGGTCGCACTCAGAGGGTGGTGGTGGATGGATCATACTCGACTTGGGGGGAGGTGGGTAGTGGAGTCCCCCAGGGCTCGGTCCTGGGGCCTGCGCTGTTCAATTTCTTCATCAGCGATCTTGATGTTGGGGTGGAAAGCAACCTGTTTAAATTCGCTGATGACACCAAAATTTGGGGGGAGGTGAGCACGCTAGCAGGGAGAGAGAGATTGCAGAAGGATCTGGATAGGTTACAGGGGTGGGCAAACAGGAACAGGATGTGTTTCAATACGGACAAGTGCAGGGTGCTGCACTTGGGTAGTAGGAACCAGCAGCACACTTATACGATGGGGAACTCCCTACTTGAGAGCACGGAGGCGGAAAGGGATCTTGGTGTCATTATTGACTCCAAGATGAACATGGGCCGACAATGCGAGGTCATGGTTGGCAGGGCTAACCGGACCTTGTCGTGCATCCACAGGTGCATCTCGAGTAGAGCCAGGGAGGTGATCCTCCCCCTCTATGCGACGCTGGTCAGGCCGCAGCTGGAGTATTGTGTCCAGTTCTGTGCGCCCCATTTCAGGAGGGATGTGGACAACATGGAGAGGGTCCAGAGGAGGGCCACCCGCATGATCCGGGGACAACAGGGCAGACCCTACAGTGAGAGACTGCGGGACCTGAACCTGTTCAGCCTCCACAAGAGAAGGCTGAGGGGGGACCTGGTGACCGTCTATAAACTCACTAGGGGGAACCAGAAGGGTTTGGGGGAGACGCTGTTTCCCCTAGCCCCCGCTGGCATAACAAGGAGTAATGGGCACAAGTTGATGGAGAGGAGGTACAGATTGGACATCCGAAAAAACTACTTCACAGTTAGGGCGGCTAGGAGCTGGAACCAACTTCCAAGGGAGGTGGTGCTGGCCCCTACCCTGGGGGTCTTTAAGAAGAGGCTGGATACTTACCTGGCTGGACTCATTTGAGTCCCGTTTTTGTTTTTAGGGTTTTTTGTTGTTCTCCCGCCCTGGTGGGGGGGTCAGGCTAGAAGATCTATTAGGTCCCTTCCGACCCTAAAACTATGAAACTATATACACTGTTTAATCCATCGCCCATCTCCACATTAAGGCATTGTTTTTATCCTAAGACTTTTGATATTAACTGTCAGTAACTAATAGCACATCAATATAGCCACTTCTTGATGTGCTTTGACAGGCAGAAAATTGTCCCAATGACTGGATTTAGGAAGCAATCTAATTTCCCAAAACTAAAATGTAAATACAGTGAAATGAAATAGAGAGGTCCCAGTATAATTTTTGAAATGTAGATTTTCCAAAATTTTTCGCAAACAATAAGTTAATGATGAACTAGAAATTTAAAAAACATACTTAATAATGCCACTGATTGCATAAAGTATTTGAAGAATGGGGGCCTATTTTTATGGACAAGAATTCTCAAATCATCTCCAAAGGAACAGAACAATAGAGACTGTCTGGAGTATGACACATCTCTGAGATCTCCCTGTGCCAGGTGGTAAATACTCTCCCCCTCAAGCCACCTCAGCTGTGCCTGCATTGGCTCCCCTCGGATCTGCCACCACTGCTGCTGCCTTTCCCTACCCTTCCCTGCCCCAGGCACCCTCTGTGCTGTGCCCCTCCACACACTCCACACCCCCTGTCCAGTCCCAGCAATGTACTTTGCTGCAAGTGGGCGGGCAGGCAGAGACACAGTTGGAGCTAAGCTTCGCAGCCCAGCTTGTTTCTGCCACTCCTCCAACACTCCTGGGGCCAGCAGGATGGGCTGCAGGGGTGGTCACTAGTGTGTGAGACCCTACAAGAACAGCCTCAGCAGCTTGAGGCGAAAAAGGGAGAGAATCACTAATAAAGACTAATCCTTTGCTTAAAGAAAGATGTATTTGGTGTCTAAAAAAAAAAAAAAGTGCATCGCAGCACTGGGATGATTTACTCTGGCAGGTGAATGAAATCTGTTACATATTATGAAAAATACATACATTTTTCAAATATTTTTACACACCCAAATCTCTCTCTCACACACACACACACACACACACACACACACACACACTCTTTTTCAGGCTTAAGAGTGAAGTGTGTCACCAATTTTAATCCAGAAAAAAAAACAAAAAATGTGCCCCAGGTATCAATAGTCTGAGAAACATTAGTCTTGTATCCGAGTTCAGAAACCCTGAATATAGGAATGCTTGTCTTACATTTTGGTATAACTATCTAGGTGTTTATTTTGATTTGTTTTTCCTGTGACTTAAAAAGGAAGTTCTTCCTCAAACAAGCATCTCAACTGGCAGAGCTCAAGTTTTGATCCAAGTCATTATACTATATAACATATATATTTTATATTTGAAATATAAAAGTTAAGATGGCATGCTGGTACATGAAGAAGGCTATACCTGACAGCACTGAGGTGGCATGTGAAATTTTAAATCTTTGTCATTGTATGCATTTTGCTACAGATTTTCAGTTATAGGACCGCATGCTTTTTAAATGTTACAGCATTTTTCTACAACTTCTAATCAAGGTGTGTAATAGGGCTGTGCGAAGCTTCAGTCCCCGATTTTATTCGGCAGAGATTCGGCCCGATTCGGTGGCTGAATCAAATCAGTAGACCCTGTAATCTCTCTGAATCAATTCGGAGTAATTCGGAAATAGTTGATGATTCAGACATAGACACAGCTTTAAATGTTTTTCTATATACCTCAAGGTACCAGGCAGCTTGTGAATGCTGAGATGGTGGGGCAGATGGAGCATCCCCCACAGGAGCATGGGGGCTCCCCAGTGCGCTCAGCACTTCTGGTCCACTTCTGGGTCCATCAGGGAATGCGCAGGGCAACTGGAGCCTCCTGGGTCTGGAGGGATACCCGAGGTCCCCCTGCAGCCAGTCCACTTGCAGATTTGCTGCCGAGCACGCAGGGCCCCCACATGCTCCTGTGGGATGCTCCATCCATCCCACCATGGCAGCATTCACGAACTGCGCCTGATACCTCAAGGTATGCAGAAAAACATTTAAAGCTGCGTCTGTGGCCGAATCACTGATTCTCCAAATCAGCATCGAATCTTCAGATTTGTATTAGGCTGAATCGAGTTGGGGACAGTGATCTGAATCAACAAATCGAATCATTGTCCCCGATTCAGGCCGAATCTGAATCAAAAATGGCCTGTTTCGTACAGCCCTAGTGTATAATGCTTTTCATTCCTGTCTACAGTCTGAACTGTCTTCAAAGCAGGTTGATAAAAACTCTTTGCTGCAAAACTTCTCTTGTTAAACTACTGTGATACCCAATTACAACTGATAGCACTTTCTGTAATTCTAAAAGTTTGCCTTAGAATCTGTGATCAAAATGTCCTTTTTATCTTGCTGTAAGTACTGTATGCCAGCTGGTACGCTGCCACTATGCCACTCCAGCGGTGAATCCATACCATTTCAGCAGTGTATAGTACTTGCACAGACAGCAGCAAGTTTGTCCAACTCCTGTAAACAAAACAGAAGCAGAGGTTCTATTAGTTGTGGACCAACTGTAATAAATTTCTATAGAATAGCAGTTCATATCACTGGTAGAAAGATGCCCATGATTGGTACCTGAACCTTATATAGTAGGCACTATCTAATAATATTTTCAGTGCATGTAATTCTTGTAGTACACCAAAGTACTTCGTATATCACCATATGAAATGCAGCTATCTTTGATGTGAAAGGTAGCAGTCAGCTGGCTGATACACAATGTGGAGGAAACAACCTGTTGGCCAAGGACAATAGGGGAAATCCCACTAATTTAAAGAACTATGGAGTCTTTACTGTGTAGAGCAGGAGTTGTCAACTCTGGGCATGCGTACCCCTGGGGGTACTTGGGAAAGCCCCAGGCAGTACGCAGCAGTAATGCAGAGAAGTGGGGTGCAGAGTTCCCAGCACTTTGCGCCATTTGCGCCATCATGCACCACATGCTGCTGGTGCTTTTTTTTTTCCCCTGGTGCACACTGTTAGCACTTCCAGTTTTGCCACCCTGCCCCCACTCATTGACTGGTCACTGGGGGACTCCCCACTTCTTGACCAGCCACTAGGGGTACACTTACCAAAAAAGGTTGAAAACCCCTGATGTAGAGCAAAAGGAGGCAGGACCTCTGATTTAAAAGCCAGAACATGTAGCATTACTCTGAACTCAAGTTACCTGTCCTGAAAAGATAAAAGTAAGAGCAAAGTAAAGTAAAAGGGAGAGTCCCCTTCTCCCTAGCTCAGGGCCTAACCTTGAGGTAGCTCTCTAAACTGTAGAATGCCTGCAACAAAAAATTACATTGATTGGAGCTGTTGCCTTTCCCCAGACTCCCAGGGCTGCACACAATGGCTAGGGACAGACATTCAAAAAGCCTGGGCCTGAATTGATTCAATCTTTGCAGGTTAGTCTAAGCTGTGTTGCTTAAAACTGATTAATAACCAGACAGACATTGTCTGTTAAACCAGGAAATGGAGCCACATGCCTGCAGTAGCTCAAGCCAGAAGCTCAGGAGCACTAGAGCACACCTGCCAGCCACTGCTAAAGGGGAGGGAAGAAAGACACCTTCCAAGGCTCTCTTCCTTCCCTGCTGGAGCGGAGAGGGTATGTCCAGACACCAGCCGGGACTAGCAGGACACAGGAGATGCCAAGCACCAGCCTGGGGGGGCACTTGCTGCCAGGCTGAGGAGTGGGGATGGGGAAAAAGTCCTCTCTCTGAAGTAAGCATATATTGAACACAGCAATTTGCAAAGCATACAAACATGGAACTGCCAAAAAACTTCACCTAAGCTAAGATGAAACCCAGTAAAACATAGCATACACAGCTTAGTCTAATTTAAAATGTAAAACAGGAAGACAAAAAAAATAGCTTTACTAATCCTGAGGGCAGAGGGTCTCCTTACAACCAGGCATTCATAAAGGATTTCTTTAGGTATTCCCACCACCTTTATAATGTTAATGTAGCTCTCTGCATTCCTTGGTGAAGCTGTCTGCAACTTCCCTTAAGTACCTCTCCAGCACATGTGTGATGATTATCAGGTCTTTGCCAACACTTCCCAGGTCTTAGCTCTGGGCTCACAGGTACAGGACTTGAATCTGCACACAGGGGACTAGCTTGCCTCTCTTCCTCCACTCCAGGACACACTGTTGAATTAATCCCCTCCCTGCCTGGATGCAGGCAAACCCCAGGGTTTGCCAGCAAAGATGGAGGAGGGGAGAAGGAAAGGAGGGAGAAATTTGCCTTAGGGACCATGGCAGGCCAGCATCTGGCCACACCCTGCCCCTGCTCTAGCTAGAGAGCAAAGGGGAGGGGCCAGCCCAGATCACTGGAGCAGAGAGCAGAGCTCTGCCCAGCCCAGAGAGCATTCTGGGATGCTGGGGGAGTCTGATTTAACTTAAACCAGCAAGCGGTCTGGGACAGACATTGCATAAACTGGTTTAAGCTAAATCAGGTAGGTCTGATAGTACATTCAACCAGGCTTACCTTAAAAGTTTCAGACATTTTCAAATGGGTTTATGTGCACTGAATGTCTGTTCTGTTACAGGTTTAAACCAGTTTCTGATCACCTGAACTGGTTTGCATGTAATGTCTGGCCCTAGCCTATATGAGGAACCACTTTCCTGAGTCTGTTTATGCAACTTGGGAAAGGCCTTTAGTTTTTCCTTGTAGCTAAGCAACCAGAAGCTCTCAGGCTGAGCATCTCTCTCTTCCCACCCACCACAGATGCTCATCACTAAGATCTGGTCCTATTCAGCCTAAAACTTTGCTGGACTTACATTTAAATATTTCTATTGACTGATCTGAAATAATCATCTGGTGGTCTACTGAGTTTTTGGAAGACTTTTTGTTTCTGCATCAATTTATTTGAACAAGTCAGACTGCAGTAAAAGCTTCTAGCTTAAAGCATATGCAAAGGGAAAAATCAAAGGAGCTTTTCTCAAGTGTGGGTGAATTGCACAAACCCCCATGCAAACTCCTGTTCAGTTTTTAAATTGTTAGAAAGACAGTTATTGAGTTGGATGAAGGCTGAATCCTGATCATTAATTCTAATCCTTTCCAAGAAGTTACCTCTCCATCATCCCTTATTCAGAACATATTACATGTAATCGGTATTGTTTAGTGATAATGACTGATGCTTTACACAATGGCTGTGTCTAAAGCTTTAGAATTACATTTTACTGAGTCATAGCAAAGGAGGTAGCAGTGGATGTTTCTCTGAATGGGTGTTTAATTATTATATTTTTAATTCACTCACTTCGTTGTCCAGCTGTGGCTGCTAAATTACAAGTGTTTTGTAAAAGAGAAATTAGCTGGACTTTGAGAGAGCAGGCATTTTAGTCAGCATCCAGTTTGAATAAATGTTTGCAAAGTGAAGAAGCTCTGGATTAGTGAAATCTCCTGTCTTCCAAGGAGAACAATGGTACAGTTAGCTATTCCCTCGTAGGTTCACTTGGAAAGATTTTTAGGACTCCCCATTTTTAGGACAGCAGATAATGCCTTTAATTTACAACTGTTTTATTATCTTAGACTTTGCCATCACAATGGGAGCTATACAAGCTGTTTAGATCACTGGTCAGAATGAATCTCTATGGAAACCCTATTATGTTCCTAAGAGTTCAAAAATAGCTGCAGCTGCAACTGGTGGCTGACTGCAATACCACAACCACAGGCAACACAGCAGCCAGCATTCCCCCATGCACTGCCACAGCCCAGGGCACAGAGCTGCCCCATTAAGCCTCTACCTTTGACTATAATTTTCAGACCAAACTAATCTCGTTTACTACCTTTCCTTTTAAGGCTGCACAGAATAGCTTTCAACAAATATGCTGGGGGCAGGCAGTCGTTCAGGGCCCCACAGGAGGTAGCTTCCCAAAACTAGGTCAACACGGACGTAAAATTAGATGCAACATACTGCTGACCAAACCAAAAGAATGAGCCTTCATTAAGAATTCTACCTTTGCAATGTTATACTCAGCTTGAAGTTACCAAGTATGGCATCAGGTAACTCTCCACTAAAACCATTTCTTGCCCAAATTTGCCACAGCTGAATTGATAAGGGCCCGAGACAAAGCATAAATGGATATCTGGAAGTTCACAAACAAGGGGAAAAATCTTTAAAGAGGAGGCATCATATTTTGCATGATTTATAATACCAGCAAATCCTCACAGGACTGCTCCAACCAATGATTAGGCACTTCACCTTTAGGTATTCAGAGTGCTGCTGAGCCATTTATTATATTTAATTGCTTCAGAATTGCCAAACTTAATTGCTTTCCATGAGCATGCAAATAGAAAAGCTCAGATCTACAAGCTTCTTCGAACTGCTTGAAATTAACATTTGGAGCAATGATATTAAAAATGTGCATGTGGGATGACAAAAACTGGTGGCCAGACAGAATTAGTGTGAAAAAAAACTTCAATTCTCAAACTAATAATTTTGAACAATACCTTGATGAAATCAGTTTTAGCCATGTTCTGCAGCACTGGTCATTGCAAAGTATCTTTCATGTCTGAAAAATCAAAAATTTGAGAAAAATGAATGAACAGAACAAACAGACTTGAAATGAACAGACTGACCCTGACTTAAGACAACCCAGCTGAGTAATGCATCTGGGTTGACATAAAGAAACAACAGAATACATGACAAATAATACTTGTTTCTGCCTTCTTGGTATTTTAGGATCAATACTCACAATATTCAATTACAGGCTTTGTTTAAACAATGTCAGCTATCCATTTGAAACATAATTCAGCATGTACTTATTTACCTAGCTGGACTATATCTAACTGTGGTCATGTTTTTTATGTTAAGATGCGTTACACCTGCTTTTTCATCATGTCAGCAAGTCTAGGTGAGACACATGCATAGCCAAAGAAGTTCAGCACTAACAACTTCAACTCAGCCTAGAGAGTGCTTTTCTCTTTATGATAGAAAATGACTACTTAAACACCCTGCCCAAGACTACTGCACAGTAGCATCACATGGCAGAAACTGCAGTGTGATGCTACTGCACAGTAGTCTCGGGTTACTGCTCAGCCAGCGTCACGAAAAAAGCCATTCATCAGTACTACTTCACAGTGCTATGGCGGGGTCCTCCAGGAGGGCCGTGATCTCCTTAAGGCCCCCTCTCCATGCCTATTCAGCCCAAGGGCACCCTCGATTCTTGCCCGCCACGTCTTTGATGTTCAGTATATGTTGGGAGGCTGCCTTACATCTCCTAGGCACGGTTAGCTGGGACCTCCGTCCCCATGTTCTCCCGGACCCCCCAGGGGTCTCCCTGCACACTGGGTACATTCCAGGCACCCTAGCCTTATGGGCTACGCGTGGCTCCTACCAACCCCTAATACCACGCCCCAAGCCTCACAGATGTACTGGACGTTGGTCTGTCAAAATCAACTTGCCCGCTCTCCCAGGCCTTCTCTGTTGCACTGCCCCCTCCTGAGCTCTCCGAGCCCACTTGGGGCCTTCCCTACAATGCCGCCCCCCTTCTCTGGGGCCTTCCCTACAATAACCTAGCCCGCTCCGGGACTTGCTCCCAAGTCTCTGGTTCTCTAGGTCCACTGCACTGCTACCCTCTCTTATGCGGGCTCACCACACTGCTATCCCCTTTAGCCAGGGACCACCGCAGCACCTTGCCCTGCTCCTGGGGTGCCGTACTGCTAACCCCTTTCGTCGGGGCCCACCGCAGCACCTTACCCCTGTCTGAGGTCTACCGCTGGGCTAGCCTTCAGCCAGGCTCGCCATGCCCGTCTTGGGCTTCTCAATAAGGCGCTCCCCCTCTTCGGGGCTCGCCATGCCCGCGCTGGGCTCCCTAATAGTGCCGCTCCCTCTCTGGGGCTCGCTGTGCCCCGCTGGGCTCCCTAATAGTGCTGCCCCCTCTCTGGGGCTCGCTGTGCCCCGCTGGGCCCCCTAATAGTGCTGCCCCCTCTCTGGGGCTCGCTGTGCCCCCGC